GACAGCGACATGGACCCGCTTGGTGTCAGAGAATCACGATACCTCGTGCGATCGATGGCCTACTCCCCACTTGGACCTGCACGCCCTGGAGGATAAGACCGAACAGGAGTGCCAAGGAGAGAGGAAGGACTCCAAGCAAATAAACAAAGCAAGAGTCAATACTCCCAGCGGAAAAGTGACATTGCTTGCCCCTGGAACAACCGTGCGTGCGTGCGTTCATCGGTGCCCACAAAGCCCGGATCGTGACTCTCTTCAAGTCCGCCATGTAAGGTACCCCCTCCTTCTTGGCCCCCTTTCCAAGCCAAATCCCAAGTGCATGCGCCAACCCATAGTGGGATATGTCAACAATCGCACAACTCCGTGCTCAACAACCTCGCATTCGCCCACCCGAGATACACATCTGGGCGCCGGTGTGGGTTCGGTGGGTTCGGTGGGTATCCTTTGTCCCTCTTTGTGAATGTGTTGTGTGTGTGCCGGTGTGTGTGCTGGTGTGTGTTAGGTCGCTCTTCAAGACGCCAGACACCGGTCCGGTCCTCACGGAAGGACGGAAAGCGCTGGGCTCAACCTGTGCACCCGTGCACACTTTCAGTCGTCTATGTGGCCCATTGTCATGCCATCACCCCCAACATCCTCGAGGAGCCAAGGTAAAGAGACAAAAAACTTACAAACCACGGCGTTCTCCACAATCGAGTCCTTTGGGGTTAGTGCTTTGGGCCAAGCCTGATCCCGTCTGCCAAAATTTGATAGTCTCAGTTGCGGTATGCTGCGATCGCGGGGCACGCTTTCCCCTCGATGCATCTAGCCTTGAACTCTACTCTGTGTGATATTGACCAGAGGCTCTCGCACTCGCAGATCAGTCGTTGCTTCCCTTCCTTGGCCCCCCTTGTTGGGGCAAATCGTGGCGTCTTTTGAAATGGGCGTGGCCGCTAAGCCAATCTTGTCCTGGATGGGAGTTGTGTTGCGTACCTTTTTCCCCCATTTCCCATTCCTGCCCTTCTGCTGCCCGCATTCTGCACCCCTAGTCCAGCTGGGCAGCACAGGCAGGTGGAGCAGTCTTTTTATGGTCGAGAGGCGGTGAGGCTGGTCTGTCGAGGGCAACGATCCAATCAGGAATCGATTGTTGGACACTCTCTGCCAAGCTCCACACACACCAGCTGCTTGGCTTGTCCATCCACCACACTAACAATCTGATCCTCTGTACATATGTATTCCTATTTGGGGGCTTTGGTGCTTTGAAAGACAACGTTTTTGCTGGTGAGGGGCTCGTGGCGGTGTCTGGTTTCCCTCTCTGGCCCCCTCCCCCTCTCGATGGGAGCGGATGGGAGACACAACGCTAATTCCGTCCTTTCCTGGCTGGGTGTATCCCTGTAGCCCTCTCTGATGGTGATCTTGGGCTCGGCCTCGGGTAGCGGGTAGCGGATAGCGGATAACGCCTGTATCGATACCCACTATCAAGAAGATGGAGTACGTGCACCAACTCCAAACTCAACAACGACATTCCGCCAAATCGATGCCGCCCCATTAAAGATTGAAAGAGCAACCGTAGGGGACCCGGGATGGACCCTAAGCAAACTGTAGTCTGATAAGGAATACCGCTGTCTCGCCAAGTGGCTGACCCGGCGTTTTCGGACCCTCTCCACAGCAAAGTCGCCGCCATCGACCCATGCCCAGCCGTGATCGCGGTGACACAAGCACTGATAAAGCCTCTCTAATACTACCGAGGTATACATGCGGTTCTTGAGATTGAACGGCCGGGGCTAGACTTTCGAGGACCATTGTTGGCAGTCAGAGTTTGGAGGCTTGTCCTGACTGCATAATTACCAATAAACTATGAACCAATGCCCCGTCGTACAAGACGGGATAATAATACACGGCAGCTATATTTCCGTGCATTCGGTAGGGACGCTCGGCAGCCCGAGACAGAGGCAAACGAGAATAAGCTCGCCGGATGGCAAAAGGGCGGAAGAAAGGGAGTGTTTCGAATAGAAGCTTGTGCCGCCGTACTGCCTCCGGGAACTGGAGGCTCAGACGACTTTTCATCAGTTAACTTTCCTTCCCTCGTCTGGATGACGTTGAAATGGAGAGATCGTACCCTTCCAGGGGCCAATCTGCGACAAACCATCTCGCTTTTTCGTCCCAACCTTGCTTGGAAAGGCTATCTCCTTTGCTCAAAGGGTGTTCGAGACTCCACACGCTGCCAGTTGGTTCCAGACAAAACAAAAAAGGGAACCCAGGCAAGGGCCTTGTTACCCACGATGACGGCGTTGTTTGCTGATGATCGACCAAGTGGATGATCGATCACCTGGGGAGGAGCAGGGTCTAGTGGTGCCAGTACCGAAGCCTCTTGTGTGGCCGGCCCATTTGGCAAGGGTTTGGCCTTGATACGCTGAAACACCCTTGTAAATGGTAATTACGATCCCTGGCTTCGTCGAGCACCGGATCAAAACTTGAATTGATGGTTTGATCAATGAACAGTGATACTCTGCTCGGCCGGTCTAATTCTATCTCTTACTAGTGTCGACAGTCGGGAGTACCTTTCTCTAAGGAGTGTAGCGTAGGTTTAGGGAGATGGTGCTCGCCTCCTGTGGCCAGGCTCTCATCCACGCCGTCTTCACAGCGTCCACTTCGAGCAAGTCGATCAATGCTACCTCGGTACTTTGTCTATGATCGAGGTCGCTGAATGGTATCAGCTAAAGGGTATCGGCTTGACAGCTAAAAACTTCGCAGGTCTTTCCTTCCCAAACCTGATAGCGAGGGAAGAGAAAAAGAAAACGGGACGAAAAAAAAAGGAAGAACAGATGAAACGGGCCGCAATTGAGCTTCGCTCAAATTTCCTCAAGCCGAAGCGAATTGTTAGTCAGAAATGGTCGGTTGTGAAGATCCCCCAAATTCCACTCGTCCACCTCGCCGAATGACGTATGGTTTACATGGACGGCGAGCACAACTCACCGAGAGCGAAATCATCAACCAATTTCCCCAGCCAAGGAGGCGGGGACACCCCGTGGATGAAGAGCGAACCCTGGATCCTCGCAAAACCAAAGAAAGGATAGAGAACGGTGCGTCTTGAGGAACGCAAACCTGCACCCATCAAGGGGGTGCGTCCACTCCCTGCTCTGGGGCACACGAGGCCAACCAGATGACCTGCCAACGTGCGTACATGTGGTGTAGGCACCGGAATTACAGTTCGTACATGTAATCATGGGAACTGGAGCTTTGACCAGGCAGGCAGCGGTTGCTCCATGTCGTGTCGTATCAGCTCACTCACAGCCTCAATGGCAGTCGCCAGTTCCGAACCACCACAAAGAAGGCTGGAGACCTTCATCAGTCTTCGTTTCAAAACGAAATCACCTCGGACAGCCTCGAGGACACTGGTCGGGATGGCTTCCAGAAGAGAAATGGAGCCAAGCTCAACACGACGCATTTCCAGCGCCCGTTGTGCTGGGAGCCTGTGCATTTTCCTCCTCAATGTTTGCGCGCGTGGCATGGCTGAAGATGGGTGCCCGTTCCTGACTTTCAGGCCTGGATGTTGAACGTGTTTTCTTTTTCTGTCTTCTCTATTTCCTTTTTCCTCGCTATTCCGGTGTGTGTAAAAACCCCCATCGTTGCTTTTTAAATGCGGCTCCTTGGCCCATCCAGGAACCAACCCATCCTGAAGGAACAAGCTGGGGAAATGAAATTAAAGAGACGAAAAAAGGAAAGAAAGGCGAAAATAAGATGCGGTGGATGCATAATTCTCCTGCGGCAACTGCGCGCGGAAAAGTATCGTCGTGGAAAGATGGCAAAAACAAAAGGAAGAAAAAACTTCCTCTCCGCCGCGCCGAGATTTGAAGCCCAGGCCACTTTCGGAAATACCGTTGGCTTGTGATCCAGACCCGAGTGCGAGATCAGGAACAGAAAACAGTCAAAGGCAAAAGGCAAAAACCAAAAGAAAAAACGGTCTGAAAAAGTTCCCACCAGGCTACGGGATTCAGCGAGCGCCCGGACCAAGATTCGTACCTTGCGCTGTAACTGCCAACGCCATCATTTTGCCAATACCGGCCAGCCGTCATTAGGAGCTGGGCAGATTGCCGATTCCGTCCTGTGAAGCGGAATGAGTATTGTCAGTATATTTGCTGTTCAGCTCCTGCTAGGTTGTCGTGGGTCCCTTAACCTGGGCCGGACGTTTTTAGTGACAAAACACAAACCTTGGGAGGAGCGGCACGGCCACTCTGCTGAGCAGCACCTGAAGAGGCTTGGCTACTAGTACTAAATAGGAGAGATAAGCGGTCCACGACCGAAAAAGACAAGATGAGAAAAGAAAGAAAAACGAAGAAAAAAACCCCCGTCTCGCCAGTGTAGACCGGGAAATCCTTGTACCTAGGGATGCCGCAAGATGTGGACCTCCACGAAGGACCGACGAGATCGAACCCGGCCTCGCCTTTGGCAATCTAGGAAGATTGAGGGACCAACGGAAGGGGGTCGCACGATAGGAACCTAAATGAGGAAATCGACTAACTTTCGACTGTCTCTGACGAGCTCCTGAAAACTCTGGGTGACAGGCAGACACAATTGTAGGTTTCGACACACCCGCAAGGCCACAAGATTTTGCTTCAAGGACCAAGCTTGCAAAACACGGTGGGCAAGGTGCCATCGGCGAGGACCCATATCGAGTCAGTCATGAACAGATTTGCAACTTGAACCCATGTGCAAAATCCACGGCTGCCGGAGAAGGGCGGTGGAGTCTCAAAACCCGAGGCGGAAGGGGTGTGGAAGTGTGAAAGGGTGTAAGGGTGTCTTTTTCTTTTTCTTTTCTTTCCTTTCTCTCTTTTTTTTCTTTTTCTTTTTCTTGGGGAAGGGGGTGATGTTAAGCCCAGCGTACCTGCCTTGAACAGAGAACCGCGTGCACGCAATAATGGGTCGCCAAGGAAAAGACCCACGTACTCCGTACCTTGCGGAGGTGAAGGGGGTGGGTGAATCGTGGAGGGAGTGGGAAAGTCTTGGGGGAGTGAAGGGTACAAGCTATGGTGTCCGCCGACGTCCACGACAACCGACATGTTCGTAATACCCCTGTAAGGCAACCTCATCTAGGCCACGCCCAATGTACGGGGTACTTGGCTCTCTTTACCTGACAGCCTCGACCTGGTCAGTCTGGCATCGTTCGTTCCTACTCCGCTGACCTTGGTTGATCCAAGTATATATCCTCACCCACCCCTCCTTCCCACTTCTCCTCCTACGATTCTCTCTCCTGTCAAACACGATCAAACTATCTGAATCATCTTCACCTCTTCTCAAGCTATGGGACTCTACTCTCTCACATATAATCAGCTTACCCTTAGATCGTCCTTATAACACAAACCACCTCGACCCTTGGTCATTCTTACACTAACAGCCAACACCTTACCGCCAAGCACACCCAGGACCTCCGCAGACTCTTGATGTTCCGCAAGTCCCAAGAAAGACCCCGTGAACCAACGGACCCCAAGACGACCATCATGGCTCGCCGCTTCCATCTACGAAAGCCCAAGTCCCTCGAGTCTGTCTCGAGCCGTGACTCGGCCTCGACCGCCTCCATGCCTCGCACTCCCGTTTCTCCCACCAGCACCCACCACCGCCACTCCCGCGTCGTCGAGTTCGATCCTCTCAACCTCCATCCCACCTTCCAGGCTCCTCCCAGGCTCTCTGATCGGCCTTTTATTCACGTCATGGAGCACGACGAGCCCCAATACCACCAGCCCCAGCCTCGCAGGGTCGCTCCCAAATTCCGAGAGCTCGAGCTTCCTCCCGTAGCCTCTCCACGAACCAGCCAGGTCGTGGAGGCCGAGGAGGTGCCCGATTACTTTGCCATGAAGCTTGGCATGCTCCAGAGGCCCACTCTGGTGAGGAGCCACTGGTCTGAGTCTACCATCAACACGGTACTCAGTAGCAGCGACGAGGAAGAGACGGACGAGGCCGAAGAGGCCACTATTGACGATGAGGACTCGGAAGCCGAGGAGCAGGTCACAACCCCTACCGGCCCCGCGATGCCTCTCCAACTCCAATTCGAGACGGAGCGCGAGGTGGTGCCTACAAGCACGCAATGGCAAAACTTCTCCTACAAGCGCAACACAGTCCATGCCACTCGGCGACCACCTCCTGGTGGATCGGACAACAGCATCGACAACTACGTCAAGCGGGGCGGATGGAAACGACGAGGCATCGTCTTCCAGGCCAACGACTCCTCGGACTGCATGATTGACAGGCTCTCCGCTCAAACCGTTGGCTAAACAGGGCCTTCCGCTCTCTCCCCTCCTCCGCACGCCTACCTCTACTACTAGTCCTACCACCGAACCACTATCAACCCCACCCACTACTTGACCGTCGATCGACACCCAACCTATACGGGGCTCAGCCCACTACACCACTACACCACCAATTTTTGTTGACTCTTACAACCACCATCGCTGCATATATACCCACATTTTCTTTTTATCTTTTCCAGCTTATGGCCGGCGTTTCCGTGGGGCTCTTAATGAATATCGATGCATCACGAACACTTTCTTTTCTTCTCTTGTCTTTTAATTTCATCTTGTTAGAACACATGGAAGCCTTCACTGGCACACCTCCCACACTACAACTGTGGCTACTACTCTTATCACAAACAATGTCTCTTTTCTCTTTCCCATCCGTTCATCACCACAACGTCCGCTCGACCCAATACGTCACTTTTCTACATTTGTTTCTTCAAATGCTTGGAGCTTGGGAGTGGGAACTTGGGAATGGTTTAATTTCTTGTCATAATCATGTACAACACTAGTCTTCTGCAAGTCAGAAAAAACAACAGAAACTATTTTTCAACCCACTTGTCTTCCTCATCTACCAAAGTGATGCCAGTGATGCCAGTGATGCCAGAAAATGAACATGACCTAAAAACAGAATCCCAGCCCACTTACGACTTAAACACCATGTATGCTCTTCAGTCATGTTCGTATCAAATCCTCCGTATCAAATCCCGGCGGCGGGATTGAAACGCCTATCATCTCGTATTACACTCCTTCCCCCATTGGGGCTATTGTGCCGGCTCACGAACCAGGTTCGCTCTATTTTCATTTGGGAGGGTGGTCGGAGAAAAGGGCTGTGGGTGGGTGGGGGAACCGGATTTAGCAACAAAGAGCCAGCATTGATCCATTCAATCCAGCACCCAGAGAATTTGACCAGAGGCCCACTGTAACGGCGCTGAACAATTAATAGAGCCGAGGCCAAGGCAAAGGTCAGATGGGGGAACAGCGACAGCCAGACGGACAAACACGGCCACCCACCCAACCTTTTCTTTTCCTCGAGACCACGATACATTTGATCAAATGTACCCATAGAAGATTGATCAATCGGGTGTAACACCCTCTCTCCAGAAGAAAAGATCACAAGTGGCTTTCGGCGGGGGCACACACCACTCCCAAAGAATTTAGCCAGAGCACGACGAGCGCACGTTGCGACCTCGACGCACCGCCCAAGGAGACCTCCATCACACCACACAAAGACACAGAAACAAATATAATGGATGGTTTCAATTCTTTCTTTCTCTTCCTTTTAGTTTCTCGCGGGCCTTTAACCAGATTTTCAACCTTCCCCATTTGAACACGGAGCCCAATTTGAAAGCAGGACGAGAGCGAAGAGAGGGGAAGAGGTGCGAGATCGTCTCGGTGTGCATCATCGGACAAGACGGACACCCCCTCGGACTCTCGGGGAATGGGTGCGACGATTTCTTGACGTCGTGAACAAATGCGCATCGAATGATATTATGGTTACAGAGAAGGGGAGGAGCGAAGGAGACCCCGCGCGGGCTTGGCAGCCTCGTTGGCTGCTTGCCACACCGCCAGATCGGCAGAGCCCACCAGATCTTTTTTTTTCCTGTTCAAACGATTTCCAACACGATGGCGATCCAATAGCTAGCTTCCGTTCATGGGGAGCGACACAGAGGTAATACGTGCTCAACCAAAAACTAGCTGCGTCGGGCCAAGTTCTCCAGCGATGGACGAGCTCGAATAGACGAATCAAAGGCCAGAGATGGCTAGGAAGGGCAAGGTGAGCGTTTTATCGTGGAAAAGTGAGGCAGCAGCCAGGGGTATCCCAGGAAGATGGGGCGGCCACTACGCGAACGCACACACACACACACACACACACCCAGACACACTCGTCACAACGACGGCCCTTTTAGTGCGGGCGGAAGAATATGAGCGTGGCGAAAGAAGGAGATAGAGAAGGGGGCATGGAATCTTTCTTTCGGACATGCTTGATAACGAGTACAAGCAGTTAGGCTGTGTGGAGCCCCCGAGAGAAGGGCCAGAAGCGTACATATAAAAAGAAGAGGAAAAAGAAAATAGAAAAGAGACAAGGATAGTAGCACTAAAGGGAGAAAAAAGGAAAGTGAAGAGAGAAAACAAAAAGCAAAGACACGCCCCCAAACCCCGCACGACCGGTTTGTGATGGAATTGTCATTCACGAAGATGAGTTGTGAGTTTCCCAGCCCAATTCAATCCACGATGATAGGGCTCGTCCATGGCGGCGGCGGCGGCGGCGGCAGTGCTCACAACGACGAGCCTTACCCTGCCACTTTCCCTGCAGCAACTCGGCTGGATTCGGATTCTCTGACAGGAGCCCATTTTTCATCTCCGTCCCTTTGACAATTCGTGAGGATGGTATTGGGCAGGAAAAGAGAGCTGGAAGGGGTCTTACTAGTCCCCTCTTCGGGCCCCCACCCCCTCACCTCGCGCTGAGGTGTCGTGCATGCTTCATGCATATCCAGGTACAGAGACATGCATGCTCATGACAGCCTTCTTTGTCGAGTCTCGCTGTCAACACTGCACAGAGGATTGACGCAGCCCGCGTCCTGTTACTCGAGGAGGGGAAACGGCCAGGCTTGAGGTGGAGTTTTGCCAACTGCAAATCCCCATCTGCGAGTTTCAAAGACTTGCAGGACCCTTCCTGCCACATTGACTATTTTCAATATTCCCCGCGGCAAATCATGATAGCTCTTTTTTTTTTTTTCGTCTTCTCGAGGGCGGAGTCTCGAACGGCTGAGCAGATGAGCCGAGCTAATCCCCATTGTCCGCTGCATGTATCACAAACACATTCTCACCGCTCATACTCATGCTCACGCTATTCTCTTCCGCGCACCTCGACTTTCTGTTTGTCCCATTAAATGATAACTAACACAGCTAACGCAGCCAACCATGAAAAGGAAGAAAGACCCGTCCCGTTTGCCGAAGAGATTCTTGGAAGAAAAAAAGAAAAAAGAAAAAGAAAAAGAAAAAAGATATGTGTGCAAACAGTTCATACATCTGATCATCTGAATCCACCTGGAACAGAACTTTCATAGTATATTCTTAGCCGAAAGCGACATCTGGGCATTCGTCAGGTCCGGTAGGAGTGTATCTTTTCTTTTCTTGGAATGCGCAGCCACATGACCTTGGCCAACGTTGCATCGGACTCCAGCTGTCTCGGAAACTATGGGAATATGGACTCGTCCTGCGTGGGAGAAGGCGGGCTGGACAAGGGTGACAGGGGCATCTGATAGGCTCAAAGAACGAGGGCTCGGGTCTTGGCACTCGATTTTGCTCTGGAGCATTCAATGTTATCAATTTCAATGTTTGTTGGCTTGCGTGCTGGGGGAGAGTTGAGCATCGAACCCCGGTCGTTTGAAGGGATCCACTCGTGTACGAGTTCCACGGCCTTCAAGTGTTCGCACAAGTGTACTTTGCACCAGCCCGTCATCAAACATTGAGAGAAGACAAGGGCTCCATATGGCTGGCCTGGGCCCAGCCCTACAGACCATTCCTTCAATGTTCAGAATACATCCTCTCAAGGGTCCATCCATTCCTTTTGTCATTGAACTGTCCAGCTCCACGGACCTCACGATAAATCGGATTTCAAATCCCTCGTCTCATTAACAACATGCATCGATGATGACAGGGCGAAGCCGGCCAAGGGTTTGCCCCCTTGTGATCCGTGTGCTCGCGGTGAATCTGGATCCTCCGTCTGGGTGAGGTTGCGCCGTGCTTTTGCAAAGTCAACAAATTCCATCTGAAATTACCGCTTCTCCCGGCACACGCTCAAGCCGAGGGCTAGGTCCAGGGAATCACCTTGTGTCCACTCTTGAGAACTATTTTGTTTGAGATGGAGAAGGAAAAGTTAAGAGAGAAGCATTAATAATAATATCGCCAGCCTAGTTAGTCCACCACGAGTCTTGGCGTGCCAAGCCTTCGTCCATTTCCGACGAACCAGGTCCGGATTTCTAAAAAGAAGACATAAGGAAATGTGGGGGAAAATGTTGGACAGGATCCATCAGTTCAAAATTGGGGCCCAAGGTGAAAAATCACAAGGAAATAATAATATCTGCCTCCGTTATTATGTCCGCCGAACGCAAGAGCCGGCATTCCCGTGTTCGCGTACGCGCTTGTAATTTAGAAAATTTGCACGGAAAACTGTAACTTGACTGAATTTCTTTCGACGAACTGCTGCACCATGGGAACCGTCGGTCCCTGGTCCTGGTAGATGAAGCTTGTCCAAATCTCGCAAACTTTTTCTTTTCCGCCGCCAGCCTCCGACTCTCATTTCCAGGACCCGAACCAGATTGATCACAATGGCGGCGCGTCATGGTGGGATTTTCGACCTCGAGGCAGCAGCATCTGGAACCTTCTCGTCATCATGTCTTCCGTGTTTCCAATGTTCTTTCTTTTTTTCTCGGCTCCCTCTTCTCTCTGGTGATCCCCTTTGTTGTGCGCGCACCTGTACGAATCATTCCTCCCATTCAGGTACCAGTGGCAAAAACAGAGTGTCATGCTGCAACTTTCTCCTGCCCCAGGTTTCTGCTTGTTTGCCATCGATGACAGCATACCATGTTTCATGTTTAAGTCGTCAGCCTGGCAGGCCAACATCCGGCAGGTGAAAACGAAAAACAATCATGAATGATCGCCGTTACCTTGCTTCCAGTCTGTATTGATGTTTCCTTGAACACCCCCTTCCAACATAATTCAAGTGGAGGAAGAAGCCCCCAAAGTCCCTGGCGGTCTAATGACCCGATCATCTAATGAGTCTTGGCCGAAGGATGGATGGCGGGTGGAGTTTCTTTTTTTTTTTTGCCTTTGTTTTCAACTTCTCGCCCCCAGAGTGAAGATCGGGCCCTTGGTCGAATCCATTCGTCGGAGATGATTTCGCTGGTATCCAATCCGATGCACAGAACGGCTTGTCATCGATGGTGAGCTATTCTTAGTGATGCAACGATTACACA